GGATGGTGCCTTGGTTCGTGTTTTGAGGGGTGGGGAGTGCGACGTCCAAGGACGGGTCGCCAGAGACAACGAGGTTGGGGTAGAGGGAGGAGCGCGCCACCGGTGCGAAGAAGAAGTATGAAGTAGAGAGGGCTTTGAGGGCCCCGTGGGGAATATCGGCTGCCGCCTCACCATCGTACACCATCATCTCGTACAACGCCTTGATGATGGTTTCGTGGCGCATTCTATCCTGGTCATTTGTCGGCCGATCGGGGGGGAACAAACCGAATGGTAGGATAGCGGTTCTGCTGGGCGGACATGGTGTATTTCTTTGAGTATGTGTGCTATCATCATCACACCTCAGTATCCAGAGACGAAGCCACTGCAGTCGCGCAAGTCGACGGCGGCGAAATCCGCCAGTCAGGTGACTCAAATTGCCACCCGCTCAAGCTGTCGTGTATCTTGAATAATTCCTCCCGCTATAGCTTGACCGAAGGCCAATGCAGCTCTCCGCTTCTCTTCGCTCCACACACCTACCATCATGTCTACCGTCACCGTATCCCGCCCTCTCGCTTTTCCTCAGCTGACCCTCCCCACCGCCGACGACCATTCTTCCGCCTACGCCCCCCCACCTGCCTATGAACAGAAGATGCAGGCTTACCGCGAATCTATCGACGTAGAGTTGCGCGACTATGACGCGTGTAAATGCCAGGAACTCAAGGAATGGGTGGAAGCTTGGGAAATGATCACCAGCGATCCAAAAGAGAGGGAGAGGATAAGGCCTTACGCCGAGGCGGAGTTTGCTTCGGAAAGGGAGGAGCTCGTGAAGGGTTTGGAAAGCGACTTTCAACACTATTGTGAGTCATTTCCTTTGTTTCTTGACGACAATGTCTTGATGCCAGGTCAGCAAAAGTGTGGTTGCTGGAAGATATGGCGTTGGCATCAGCAATGAATCAGAAGTGATTGCTGTATCAAGTGATAAGTGTAATATAAAGTATGTATCTACGAACGATTATGTATCCTATCACAAATCTGAGCGCAAAAATATGGAGTTCATGTACATCGAAAAAAAATGTTCCCTGCGCGGAATGGCCGAACTCGGTGCATATACAAGACCGGAAGAGAATAGGATAGAGACGTACTCGGGGACTTTGGCCACCTTCGACGAACTGCACACGAGCGGCGGAATGTGACCGGTAGCTTACCTTCAAGTGTCACATCATCGCAATCAGTCTAAAGTATGCTGATCAGCAACAACTAGAAAGAGGTGTTTGCTGTAACGACTGCGTAAACGGAAGACCATCGTGTGCGGCAATCATCTGAGCGCAGCTTGTGAGGGCCCTACCCTTTCCCACCCTTTCCCACCACCCTCCAGCCACTTTCCACCCATTCCCCAACCATTTCCAATTCCCCCTGCATCACGATATCACTTCCCCCGAGAGGAGGGGAGAAGAGGTGGAAGATGAGAGGAAGTATACGTAGGAGATATAGGAGAAGGAAGGGGAGAGGAAGGTGGAAGAGGGGAGGAAGGTCCACGGAAGGGAAGAGAGGCAGAAGAGGAGAGAAATGCTCCAAGTAGCATGGGAATGTCTTGAAGACGACATTACTCGCAAGACACCTGAGGCTGCTCTTGTAGGCGCGAATAGTTGTGTTCATTACCCATCTCAATCAAACTATATCACAGACCCTCCAAGAATGCTATCAACTGCTCCAGAATCATCCTCTGCAATGCTGCTCCTCCTGCTTCGCCTTCTGCTGCTTCTCCTTCTTCTTCTTCGTCGTCACCGATGTTGTCTTTGAGTTCTGTGGAAAATGTCTTTTAGCTAAGATCAACGAGGGAGTGATGAAAGACGTACCTCGCAAGACTGATGAGACGTTCTTGAAGTTCATGCCCTTCCTCGAGAGTAACAGTCTTGCGTGTGTCATCGCCTACAACTCATCAGCTTCCGCCCCTCGGACAGAAAGAAAGGCACTCACCCCATCATCCTCCATGACCACCCACGCCAGCACATAATCCGCATTCTGCAAACTCGCCAGACCCGCATCCATCTTTCTCAAATACCACTCCACCTCCATCTCTTCAATCTCCTCTTCCACCGCGCCTTCCGCTTTCAGAGTCTTCTTTTCATCCTCGATATCCCGCTTGACGGGTGCGAGCCTGCTTTCGGCAGCTTCGCGCAGTTCAAGCAGCCTCTCCACCTTTGCATACCCTTCCTCGACAAATTTGGCTATCAGCCTGATCCTCTCTGGCGAATCACTCTCCAGATTCGTAAACAGACTGCCCAAGATACCCAACAAGTGCTCTTCATCCTCCACCTGGCTGGTCTGGAGGTGCCGGTTTTTGGATTTGTTCGTGGATTTGCCCATGAAGGCGGAGAAGAAGGTGGGGAGGCCGGATGCGGTGATGAAGCGGATGCAGGAGGGGGCGCCGGGGGGTGATTGGAGGGCGTAGTCGAGGACTTTGATGGCGCGTGTTCGGGCGAGGCGTTTTTCCCTACAATGCACGTCAGTCTGAGTGGTGAGGGGGCAGGGGAGAGTGGGCAGGGGAGAGGGGGGAGGGAAGGGGACGAACTTCATCATCATGACCATCAATTCTACGCCTTCAGAGTCGTGGAATTCTTGTTTCATCTCGGGCTCGGCGAGGGAGGTGCAGACGCAGTCGAATACGTTTTCCATGAACTCGAGTTCTTCCCCGTCTCCGGGATCTTTTTTGATGTATTGCTACGAGTCGTCAGCTTTAAACAGCGTCAAAGAAGAAGAGCGACGTACGAAAAGAACCTGAAGCAGCTTATCCAGCCCATCCAATTTCGCAAACCTCAAAACCACCTCCCGCCCTTCTTGCAACAACATCGCCAACACTTCACTCGCATACTGCTTATTACTATCGTACCCCTCCTTTTCCAGCCTGCTGACCAACCAGCCGAGGAGGCTTGTTTCGCTTGTGATGGTGGAGGCGAGAGGGGGCATGAAGGAGAGCAGGTTTTCGAATACGGCGAGGATGTGGAAGACGCCTTGGGAGTCGGATTCTTCGGATTCGTTTAGGCGGGAGAGGTTGGATACGAGGAGGTCGAGGAGTGAGTTGTTCAGCTGCCAAAGGATCAGTATCCGCCCGCAGCGAAAGATGGCAAACTTACAAGCTCGTCGATAAGCTGCCCAATAGCCATCCTCGTCTTACTAGCCCTCTCCTCTTCTTCCGCCCCGCCCTCCGCATCTTCCTCCTCCCCGACATCTTCATCTGTCAACTCCCGAATGACTTCCACGACGTCAACAGCGATATCGGTGTTTTCATGCGCGAGCAGCCCAGAGAGGATGGGGATGATACCGGCTTTGACGAGTTCGGGGTAGAATAAAGGTGGGTTCTGGGTGAGGGGGAGGAATGATTTGAGGGAGGTGTCGAGGTCGGCTTCGGACTCTATAAACCTGTTCTAATGTTAGACTTCTCCTTGCCTTGGGGGAAGGACGGGGAGGGGAGAGGGGACGTACTTGGAGGGGTCATCGGGATACTTTCCGCGCTGTTCTGCATTCTTCGTGACGATCCTCTCAAACTTGCCCAGCTGTCTTCTGAGGGCTGGCAAGTCTAGGACAGGCCCGTCTTCGCCTTCGCCGGCCGCGTCAAAGATGTTCAAGATTTGCTTCAAACGATTGTCAGCTTGTTGTTTCAGGTATAAAGTATGGATGGGGAAGTGGGGGACGTACTTCTTGCTCGTTATTGAGGCCTCCCCCGAAGAAACGCCCTTCATCATCCGCATCATCATAGAAATCTTCCACCTCCCCTCCTCCTCCTCCTCCTCCTCCTCCTCCTCCTCCTCCGGCATTACGTTCCTCCCTCTCTTCCATCTCCTCATCCTGGACCGTCACCTGTCTCCCCTTCCCCTTCCCATTACCGTTCACATGAGGTTCGTCCGTGGCTTGAGATAGGGGAGCAGCCTCGTCGAATTTGAACTTTTTGAGATACTCTGGGTTCGGGTTGTCGGGCATTTTGCGTTTTTGGCCGGCTGATGCTGGGAGCTTTGGGAGCTTGAACATTTTGTCGATATCCATCTTTGATGAATTGTGTGGGGTGGTGGGGGGAGAGACGGAGGGAGGGAAGATGGGATGGGGGACCAAAGGTACGGCGAATGTGAGTAGGCAGGACGATATACAACGAACAACAAGACGGACGGAGAAGGGCGGAGATTGCCGCACCTCCACTTTTGACTTCTTGGTGTTATGATTTATCTCTCAACCAACTGTTCAACAAGCATAGATCTTCCACTGATACATCGTATATGAAGCTTGTGCACTCATGTATGAAATATCGTAGTATTGTGTGGTACCTACATAGCAGTAACCCCCTATACAGCAGATGATGTTGGCCGTTCTTCCCGAGAGAGTTGAGCAGTCGGAGGCCAACCCCGCTAGCCGAGACCTTCAAGGTTGAATTACATACTAGGCAACGTCCAGCATACACTCATTTATCACCTTGTTTGAGCCCGGAACGAAAGCGAACTCCAAGACACGCGCTACGGCAGAAGACTCGTCGGCGGCTATCTCAAGGATCCTCCAGAGGAGCAAAGACGGTTATCCGCCATGTCAGTACCGGCTCGCACGTACACCTCGGGCCGAGAACACTATCAAGACACTCCGTCGCCGACTGGTTTGCATCGACGTTATGATGCAAAGGAACGCGCAGCACTGTATGGGCTTTTGCTCTGCTACCATCATCACGTCCATAGACGATCTCACAAGATACCTCATCCACCGACCTCTCCCAAGCCTGATGCATCTCCCACACCTCTCGCACCCTTCCAAACCATTCACCCAACATATCAAGAAGCTGCGCAAAATACGGCATCCGCCGCTAGCTGTAATTAATTTCCAGATCATTATTTGGTTACGTTAACTATGACGTAGGTCCACCCCATTCGGGAGGGCTGAAAGAGGAAAACTCGTAAACACCCTTTCTTTTTTATCTTCTCTTTCTTTTGTTTCTGTTTACTTCAACATCCACCCCCCGAGTAAAGCAAGAAGGGAGGATGTTTCTCTACAACGTACACGCCCCGCACAAGACGTTTGCTTTGACGCATAAAGGTACGTCCCCTCTGCGTCTTTTGCTGACAGCTGGGGATCAGACTGACGAGGGGATAGCGAATGAAACTCAGCCGGAGCTTTTGAGGAGGATCTACGCCAAGTCGGGGCTGGGTGAAGGGGAGAGGAAGGGGGTGGGGTTGGTTTATGAGTTTGAAGGGGGGAGGTGGAGTTTGGATGATGGTACGTCCGCTTCTCCGCCACTCCGTCTGGGCGTCGAGGCGAAGAGGAGGAGAGGAGGGATGAGAGCTGATGGACGGCGATGCGGCAGATGATGATCTCCAAATCCTTTTCTCTCGATTCCCGCCTTCCTCCACGCCTTCTGTTACGCTCCACCTCAAGGCCCCTACCGCTCCTGGCCAACACCCCCACCACGCCCAAACGGCGCTTGGCAACGCGCCGCCGCCTGCCTACCCTACCTCGCCGTCTGTGAAGAGTAGAACGACCAAGTCCAAGAAGGCGAAGAGCCATGCTGGGAAAGAGGTAGGAGTGGGAGCAGGGGCAGGAGCAGGGGCAGGAGCAGGGGCAGGAACAGGAGCAGGGGCAGGGGCAGGGGCAGGGGCAGGAGCAGGGGCAGGAGCAGGGGAGAAGGTGGATGCGATTGTCGCGAGGGCGGGTACGACGGACGGCAAGACCCCCGTCAAACATACTCTCAAACCCCTCAGCCCACTCTCTAACCCGCATCACCTCGGAGCGCCTATAGCAGGTGGCAGCGGGCCAGGTCGCGTCGTCTCGTCCACCTCCCACCTCGCTCCTCCCGGTGCCCACTCCCACTCCCACGCCCATGGGCAAGGAAGCAAGCTCAACGGCGCGCCCTCGGTATCTGGTGTTTCGACGAAAAGCCGCGCGAAATCGGTCATGTCGACGGTATCGAGAAAGAGCAAGTATGGGGATCCGTATAGCGAGGATTTGGGGGTGGTGAAGCGCAGGGCTTGGGAGGAGTTTCATGCGAATAATGGGGTGAGGACTGTCATGGGGAAGGTTGGGGAGATTTCTGGCGGTGAGTCTTGTTGGGATTGTATCTGGAGTTTGAGCTGACGGCGGTGTAGTGAGAATGTTATTGAAAGCGGGCTATCGACATGTTTACGTTTCAAGAGAGTTTGCTATCCGACACAAACTCGTCCCCAAAAAGGTCAGTCCTTCACCTCTCTTCCTTCATCCTCTTCTTTTACGTCGAGGATTCTGGCTGATCCCTTGCATAGTTTGGTACCACCGGCGGCTACGCAGGTATCCGCACGATCGGCCAAATCCCTATCACTGTCGGCTCTCGGACCGCTCTGCATGCTGCTTATTTGACAGAGGAGAAGCACTTTGATGTGGTGTTGGGGAGGAGCTGGATGGAGAAGATGGGCGTCAAGTGAGTTTACTTTTTACTATTTTGATGATTGCGATGGATGGGAGGGCGTTGGAGTTTCTCATTGTACTCTGTTTGGAGGCTTCGTGGGAGGCGGGGCGGAGTGGAATTCGTTTACTAGAGAATGAAAGCTGACACGGCAACAGGATCGACCCCCTCGACCAAACCATCCTCACCTACATGGACTCTGGAGAGCCTATCGAGTGCGATATCGTGGTGCTGAGAGATGAGAAGGGCGATATCGTTACTATCACATGATCTCTCTTAATGTCTTTTTGGGGATATGAACGGGCAGGGGATGGGGGATGGTGGGGAAGGGGGTCTTATCGTACTCGGTATGGGCCCGCAGAGGGTGAAATGGACATATACGGGTTGTTTTCGATTTGGGAAGAAAAGTATGGTCTAGTTGCTGTTGTTACACGCATGGAATAGTATCTCTCCTATGCCCCGTGTCCGATACAGGGCGAATAGAGGGAGGCAGAACCAAACAGTTGAAGAAGCGGACAAGGCCGTCGGCCGAGCTGGGTGGCGGTTTCGCAGATAGCCGGTGGAGTGGCGTGATGTGGTACAAGATGTCGAGCTCATCTGCTTCTGCTTACTCAACGTGGGTATATAAATGCATGCATGGGTGTACCAATCGCCACAAGAAGACACAAGCAAGATGACAGCAGTACAAGCACCCGTCTCCGCCCTTACTGACTCCTTCAAGGACCTTAGTGTTAACGCGCCACTTGCCGGCTATTCCATCGGGGTCGACTCCCAGAAGAGGGCGCATCAGAAGAAGCTCCTTTCCGAGGCTGAGAAGAAGGTTCGTTCGCTCTTATAGCAACAATGGTCAAGCTGATAGGGAATTAGGCAAAGATCTATGAGACGTCATACGAGCCTTCCCTCGACTGGTGGACCGCCGACCAGAAGGCTTACGTCAAGCCTGAGAACGACCCTCTCCCTGAAGGTTTCCCAGAGCAGGACCATGCTGCTAGTGACTGGGACGGCCGAGTGTTGATCAACCAACGTGAGCTTCACATCATACAAAAGCTGTGCATGTGCTGACAGTGTGTAGCCGAAAAGTTCCTCTACAAGTTCACCCCTGAGGATATTGCCCTCATCAACAAAGCCCACGACCACTTCATCTCTCTCCACCTCCACAACAACCACATTTCCCGCTCCACCTTCCCCATCCCGGAAGACTCCACCCTCTACAAGGCCCTGCGCAATGCCGAGCACGAGATCAATCATGGGCTCGGCTTGCGAGTGCTAAGGGGCTTGCCGGTGGATGAGTGGACGAGGGAGAAGCAGTTGGCGGTGTTTGCCGGTGTTTCGAGTTATATCTCGGAGAAGAGGATTAAGCAGGGGTTGCAGAATGTTGTCCATCTTCGGTGGGTTTTGTTTTTGTTGTCTTGTCTTGGGTGAATACTGATGTGGAGTAGTGATATTACCAATCTCGATGTCGACAAGCGTCCCGCTATCAGTACGTCCCCTTTCTTCTTTGCGCCTCATCATCAAGAGCTGATCGTCTTTACCAGCCGTCAAGGGCCAGACTTCCGGCAACCAAGTCTACCACAACGACGGCTCTGCCGGCATCATCGGCCTCATCACGCTTGGCGTTGCCGAAACCGGCGGTCTTTCCCAGCTCGCGTCGGTGGCGCATACTTATAACGAGCTGGCAAGGACGAGGAGGGATATCGTGCGCGAGCTGGCAAAGGATGATTGGGTGAACAAGCAGTATCCTGACGGTGCGTCTCTTCTCCCTGCTCTCTCTCCCTTCTCTCCCTTCATCAACGAGTACTGACGTGAGTTCAGGCAAACCCCTCTTCTTCACCCACAACAACCGCGTCATCTCATCCTACTCCCGCCGCCCCTTCTTTGGTTTCTACGAAGCCGACGCCGATGTGCCTCCCCTCCCTACGGAGAAGCATCTGGCGTTGGATGCGGTGCATTTTACGGCAGAGAAGTTTGGGTTGGACTTGGATTTGGAAAAGGGGGATTTGGAGTATTTTAACAATTTGACTGTTTTCCATGGTACGTCTTCTCTCTTCTTCTGCTTCTTCTCCTCCTCCTTCTCCCCTCCAACCTTTTTGCTTTCAAGTACAAGTACTAACCCCAAACCCAGCACGAACATCATCCTCCGACTCTCCCACAAACGCCCGACACCTAGTGCGTATCTGGCTCCAGAACCCCTCGTTCTACGCTTCCAGCATCCCGCCCCAGCTCGCTGCGCTGTATGACAGGATCAATGAGGGGGAGGCGCATGGGTGGCCGCTGGAAGCTTGGGACAGTGCGGATCCGTATCATGAGTTTAAGGATGCTGAGAGGAAGGGGAAGGAGGGGGAGGAGGAAGGGAAAGAGGGTGGGGTCGGGAAGCCTGTTATTGCTGGGAATGCTGTTTATTGAGCGGTCTTTGGATGGTTGTAAAGACGGTTGTAGAATAAAGTAAGAAAAGAAAAGGTTGTTGAAATTATGGCTTCTTGATCTGCGAAGACCAATGCAAAGTATGTTGATTGTTCGTAATCACGTGAGATGCCGACGAAGAGAAGAGGACATGAAGCAAGCACGAGGCTTGCATGGTCCGGATTAGAAGCAGATACGTGTAGTATCGCGCTGTACTAGTACGCTGTTAAATCACGATAAGTAAGTGGACGGAAGGAAGAAAGGGGCGGTATCGGCGGGATGACAGACGAGGATGGGCTGCTGAGATGATGAAGGGATCGCCTCGCAGCGAGGATTATCTGCAATGGGGGAGATTCTGACGATGGTGTGAGTACTGACGCTTCTGTCTTCTGGACTGGAAATGCTGAATGGGGGAGAGCGGGAAGAAGGGTTACTTTCGTCGTCAATTGAGTTGATGTTGTACTGTGCAGGTCGCTTGGACCGTTTGAACTGTGGCGTTCGTAAAGGATATGCGGCAGAGGAACAGCTCGAGACTTTTAAGGCCAAAGACATAGACTAGGATGTCTTTGTAGAGGAGTTTACAGGGTAGCAGAGAATTGCTGATCGCTGTCGTTCATCGACTTGGGGCAAGTGTAAATGTAAGAACCGTCATCGTCGAGGAAAGCTTCATTGTTACAAAGGTCATCAATTCATGAGACATGTACAGTATTCGTGCATAACACAGAAAACTTGGCGAAGGAATCATTATCCGTTCAGACGTAGAGGCATTAAGACGGACGCTTCTTGTTGAGTGATGAACTGACGAAGAAGTTGATTGGGGGACGTTGCCTTTTTCTCTCGCGCTTTTGCCTCGACGTATCGTACTGGCGAACAACTTATGTCTCTTGCTATGAATTCGAGGGGATGCACGACAAAGATGAATCAGACGAAGGTGGCATATTTGTTGTTGACAGCGTAACACGTTGAGTGATTTCGGTGCGAGCCGCGTTTGCCCCCTTCCCCGAGAGGATGCTTTATGGTCCCGATTTCCATCCTGCTGCACATATAAAAGCCTGGGGATTTGCATCTCTGATCTCTTCTCCTTCGCAACAATCCCCCCATCCTCTCCCTCTCAGAAACACCTCCGCTACTACCTCGCCACTCGAAACGGACGGTGTGACGGGTGAGACCAGCGCAGTGCTTGGGCAAGCGTACTCGGTTGGGCTACAATGGAGTATTGTACTACACCGCCTGTCAAACGGAACATATTAGAATGACATTCGCGGCCAAAACGGTGGAAATGTCCCCGCGACAACCCCGCGACATCGGAGATTTTCTGTTTGGGATGTCTGATGTTTTCAAAAAACATCTCAAGACATTCCGCGACCAAAATATCCCACAGACGTCTGCAGGGGCCCGAAGGTCCTTGTGATATCTCTCCAAGGAGGATGAAATATCCCTGTGATATTCTTCGGAGGTGAAATGTCCCTGTGATATTCTTCGAAGGATACCTTTACAAACAAAACCACCATATGGATAATGCTATATATATATGGTTGCTTGTTATGGCGCTGCTTTCTAAAATCGGGTTTCCCATGCATGTGGTGGGTATATGTCATGTACAACACAAGACTTTTAGATAGATATTACTACACCCTACTGCTCCAACAAGGCCCCTCATATGTGATCATGTCCTCAAGTCGCTGTCCGCATCTTCGTCCTCAGTCATTACTCCAACATTGTCGTCGTCCGATTCTACTTCTCCTTCCCTCCCCTCAACTTCGACTTCCGTATGCTGGACAAGGCTTCCTTCCTCGTCCGACGAGTATAGTCACCTTCAGACAAACCATCAGAAACATTATCATCACCTCCTATTCTTTTCCTTTTCATAGACCAGCCAGATTGAGTCATCGTATAGACAGGAAACCCTTCTCTCCTGGCTAAGGGTGGTGCGGCGGAAGGCCTGCTCTTCATGACAGTATCCTGAGTTGTTGCTTGTAACTCCTCACGGCTTTCACCTCTCCCACGGCCACCTTCTTGCCTACGCCCTCGTCCTCATCCACGTCCACGTCCACGCCCTCGTACTCGCCCTCGTCCTCTTATGGCGCCACGGCCACCTTGGACTCCACAGACATTCCTTCCCCCATCTCTGAAAGACCCATCCTTCTGTCAGGGGGCTACCTTCCTTAGGCTATGCCTTCAGAGGTCGCCGAGGTGTAGAGACGAAATGGTCTGAGAACT